AGACAAAGATGGACTTACAGTGAAACTGTTTATATTATATTTTGACAATAGGATTCTGGACTCTCTGCCATTGTCCATGCCCGCAATGATGAACATATGACTGAGTATGAAGAGCTATGTGTTAGTGATGATATGGAGGAACTGGGGGGCAGGGGGGAGGGAATTGGGGAGGGGATAAGGGAATATTGAACTGTATCATAAAATGATTGCAATAATAATAAAATGTGAAAAAATAAAAAAAAACAGTCACATGTATACCCAGTTCAAAACAAGAATAACTACAATGACCAAACAAACATATATACAATCGCTATCGCCAACCAGTAGTGACACTACCTACGAGGCACACTCTTGAGGGTCTGGGAAAAGCCAGAACTGCAACCAGACCCCTTATTGCCAAAAGCGGCTGCGTTTATACCCTTCTCTCCGCTGCCTTTTTCCCCATTGGTCTTAGCTTTTCTCCCTGCTTCTCTAGCCCTCTCTCTGCTACTTTTCTTCCCATTCTTCTCCTCGTCCTTTATTGCTTTTGTACCCCTCTCTGCTGCTTTTCTCCGTTCTTGTTCCCGTACTTTTCTCTCTGTAGGTCTTATTGCTTTTGTACCCCTCTCTGCTTTTTCTCCCCGTATGCCTTAGCTTTTCCACCCAAAGATCTTAGCTTTTCTACCCCTCTCTGCTGCCCCGTTCTTCTTGTTCCACCCATCGTTTTTCTCCCCGTCTTTCTCTTCCTCGTCCGTCTTATAGCTTTTAGCAGCTGCTTTTATACCGCTCCCCACAAATCACCGAATACTTCAGACAGAGAGACATAATCATACCTGATGTGAAACTCTCAAACCTTTTTTTTTTTAAAGATTTATTTTTATTATTATTTTTTTTATTGGAAAGGCGGATATACAGAGAGGAGAGACAGAGAGGAAGATCTTCCATCCGATGATTCACTCCCCAAGTGAGCGCAATGGCCGATGCTATGCCGGTCCGGTCCGAAGCCAGGAGCCTCTTCCGGGTCTCCCATGCGGGTGCAGGGTCCCAAGGCTTTGGGCTGTCCTCGACTGCTTTCCCGGGCCACAGGCAGGGAGCTGGATGGGAAGAGGGGCCGCCAGGATTAGAACCGGCGCCCATATGGGATCCCGGGCGTGCAAGGTGAGGACCTTAACCACTTGCGCCGCTGCGCCGGGCCCACTCTCAAACCTTTTGTGACTTCCCACCCCTTCTTCAACATACTTTAACCTGGAAATATTTTGTAAAACAAGCACATAGGTTTATCTCATGCTTTGGGTTAGTTTAACAGTGGATTAGGACAACTCTATACCAGATTATTTTTATATATAACTGTTAAATCAAGTTACAGAACAAGTTTGCAATTTTTTTCTTTTTCCTCTTTTCTTTTTCTTTTTTTAATAAACATTACATCGCTTATCTCTTACCCCGCCGCTCTCAGCTAAGGAGTGGGGATGAGAGGGATAGCTAGAGAAACTTAGGCCCTGAGTGTGGCTGGGTGTGGTTGAGAGAAACTGGAGAGCAAGTTAGGTAAAGGGTTAAAATAAAGAAAAAAAAATCTAAACATAGGAAATCTTTGTCTGCTACCCAGTGAGGAGAGCAAATGGAGACCTTCAGACAGAGGGGGATGGAAGGGAGAGAAAAGGCAAGATGGCGGACAGAGGGATAGGGTGGGGGCTGAGACCACAGATGGAGGAGGATAAGATGGGGGTTTGTTAAAAAGATGCCAGAAGAGATAGGGGAAGCACGTGGCACCAGAGCCCTGGAAGAGGGCACTGGGGTTTCCTACTTCATGGCTAGAAAACTATGGAAAAGACAGAAAGCCAAGAGTAAAGAGGGAATGAGACTCCCCCTCATTTTTCCGAATACATACAGTTGTTGATTAGATCTCAGAGTATATCTGATCCAGGGGGGCATCAAGCGGCCACGTGGAGGAGCTGGCTAGGGAATGCTGAGGCCAATTAACATTACAGAGGCATACTAGAGTTTTACGTTTTAGGTAAGGAGCCAATTCAAGGGTTTCTAAATTTGCTAGAAGACAGCCCAAGAGGTGTTGGGAGGAACCAGCAATGAAAAGATAGCACCCATGATTGCAACTCAGGACAGATTGCAACAGCAGACCCGGGAGTCTATGGTGACCCAGTGGTCAGGAAAAAATGGCTCCCGTTGGGGCCCAGCACAGTGGCCTAGCAACTAAAGTTCTTGCCTTGAATGCACTGGAATCCCATATCGATGCCATTTCTAATCCTGACAGCTCCACTGCCCATCCAGCTCCCTGCTTGTGGCCTGGGAAAGCAGTCGAGGACGGCCCAAAGCTTTGGGATCCTGCACCTGTGTGGGAGACTTAGAGGAAGTCCCTGGCTCCTGGCTTCGGATTGGCTCAGCACTGGCCGTTGAGCTCATTTGGGGAGTGAATCATCAGATGGAAGCTCTTTCTCTCTTTCCTCCTCTCTATATATCTGACTTTGTAATAAAATAAATAAATCTTTTAAAACAGAATGGCGTTCGTAAAAGGTCATCACCCACCACATAAGGGACAAGCCAGGTCCCAAAACGCCACCTGTATCCGAAGTCATTAACCCAGTGCCCGACCCGGAGGTACAGGAGGCCTCCATAGTGACCCAGTGGTCCAGTGGACTTCCAGCTCAGTGGCTAAGTGACACAGCACTCGGCCGGGGTTTACAGAACCAGTCTCCTAAGAGTGGAAAATCACCTGGTTGGAAGAGTGCAAATGGGCCAAGCTGCACTCAAGACTCCAAGGGCTGAGGGAAGGAACCCTAGCTATAAGAATGTATGCATGCAAAAACTTAGCATTCGGAAACATGGGGAATACCTCATGTGCTACAGTGGAGATGGGGTACCCAGAGCACACATCTGGGTTATGTCGTTGCTGGATGGAGGCAGATGCTAGCATGACCAGGTGTAGATGGGTACAGGAATGGCCATGTGGAGGTGGAGAATTCTGGAGCCAGCAGGTGAAGGCAAAGTCAGGAACAGGCTCTTGGAGTCTGTGCTAAGTGTATCTCCCAGCCTTGCCTCTGGCTCCTCGGTAGGGCCCAGGGAGTTCCTACATAGACGAGTTAATGATGCACAGATGAGCTCCAGGAGCCTCGCTGATGACGGTCCTCCACCTTCAGGAGTTTCTCTGTTCTCCATGGGTCTTTTCTTTCATCCTTTTAAATGTCTGTTTATTTTTACTTGAAAGTCAGAGAGAGAGAGAATCTCCATCAATTGGTTCACTCTCCAAAATGATTACAACAGACAAAGCTGACCAAGTTGGGAGCCAGGAGCTTCTTCCAGGTCTCCCACACATGGGTGCAGGGTCCCAAGACTTCAGGCTGTCCTCAACTGCTTTCCCAAGCCACAAGCAGGGAGCTGGATGGGAAGTGGAGCAGCCAGGCCTACAACAATGTCCATATGGGATGCACAGGAATGTTGGGGGGAGAGGGCAGGAGGGGATCTGGATCGCCAACCTCCACAGCTGCAGGATGGAAGAGGGGTCGAGTCTGAGACCACACAGAGGAAGTGTAGCACCTCAGATCTGAGACAGGGGTTCTCTCACACCATCCATGAGCCTTTACTGCATCGTGAAGTTATGCCCCACCCACCAGGAACCTCACATCCCCTGAAGCTGGGCCCAGGCATGGAGTCAATAGCACGAAACCACCCACCCCTCATGTCCTGCAGTCACACAATGTGATAGTGACAGAAAGTAGTGGAAGGTGTGGGTGGAGCAGTGCTAGGGACCCCAAAAATAGTGAAAAGGCTTTGCCTGTCACGTGCCCTGTGGCCCCCCACCCTGGTCTCCTTATCACTATCCTCAGCATCTCCCCAGCAGGGGTCTGTAGCCCAGACCCTCCAGACCCACTGTCCCTAAATAGCCAACTTCCAAGGGTGACTCCACAAAAGTGAGAATGGTGCAAGTCTGGGGATGGAGCAGAGGGTACAGACAGGTCCCTGGGAGAGCAGCATGGGGAGCCTGGGCACAGCTGCTTGCGGGGAAGAAAGAGGGGAGCAGGCCTACAGAGCGAGGGGTAGGGAATGTCTCCCCGAGGGGAACTCAGGCTAGACACTGCTGGGAAGGCCCCAAGGGGAGAGGCTGAGGAGGCAGCAGCTGCTGGACCTGATCAGGCATGCACTTCCCAATCACTGATGTGTGGGTTCTTGTCACACTTGATTCTGCACCTTCAGCCCCACCTCTCCCACCCCTGTGGCCTGTGTTGCAATATGCATATACAGGTTCTCGCTACATGCAAAGCGCATATAAGCCACAGAGCCCAGTTGGTCCTCACACAGAGATGCTGCTGCTCTGCCTCCTAGTGCCATGTGGTCAGATCAAAAGCATGCTGCCCAGCATCCAGGGTAAGAAGACACCAGCGCCCGGGGGAGGCTGTTCCTGCGGCCCTAATCACTATTGGGCTAGAAAACTAATGCTGTTCTTGCTTTGAAAGGTTTATTTGTTTATTTGGAAGTCAGAGTTACATAGAGAGAGGGAGAAGAAAGAGAAAAGAGGAACGTAGAGAGATCCTTCATTTTCTGGCTCACCTCTCAAGTGGCTCCTACAGCCAGGCTCAGGCTGGGTCAAAGCCAAGAGCCAGGAATTTCTTTCTGGTCTCACACTTTGGTATAGGGGCCTAGGCACTTATACCATCCTCTGCTGCTTTCCCAGGTGCATTAGGGGAAACTTGGATTACAAATGAAGCAGTTAGAACTAAAACTTGTGCTCATGCAGGATGCCAGCGTCACTGGTGTGGGTTGACTGTGCCTAAACCCTGGCTTACCTCTCTCTTCCCTGTCAGTTCTCAGCCTCCTCCTCATAACCACGCCCACTGCTGACTGCTTTGCAATCAGCCTCCCAACCTGCAGGCTCTGATCCTTATTCCTCCTGGAGCCTTCTCCCTCCCCTCCAGGCATGTCCTCACATGACTGTCCACACCCCAGGACCCACACCTGTGTCAGCTCAGATCCACTCTGTGTGCTGCGCAGGCAGCTCCCTCTGCCACCTCATGTCTGGGTCCCACCACTCTCACCCCTTCTGCCCCACAGCTGCTGTGCTCCTTCTTGCCTCCCTCGCTTCGGCCTTGGAAGGAGTCTCAGGTGAGAACTGGTGTGGTGAGGTAGGAGGCGGGGCAGTGAGTGGAGCTGGTCTTGGAGGCTTTCCTGAAGCCCACCTGTCTGGCTCTGACAGATTCTGGCCTGTGGATGTGTCAGCCGGCACCCAGGTGTGGGGACCAGGTCTACAACCCCCTGGAGCAGTGCTGTGACAATGACACCGTCCTGCCACTCAACCGGACCCGCCTCTGCGGCCCCCGCTGCTCCTACTGGCCCTGCTTCCAACTCTGCTGCCTGGAGTCGTGGGGCTCACGCGAGCGGAGGGTGGTGAGGTTCAAGGTCCCTGGCACCAATTCCGACTGCAGGTCGTCCCTGCTCTCCAGGGTCTGTGCCCAGGTGAGGGTCCCGGAGGTGAGCAGGGGACAGATGTGCACACCCCACCTCCTCGTCTCGGGGGAACAACCTTTCAGCCTCCTGTCTCTCCCCTCACCCCTTTCCCATTTCTCTGCAGGAAAAGCAGCCAGCCAGGCTTCTGCCGCATCTGACTTCATCTAGACTGTTCTGGAGAGCACAGACCCAGGTCAAACACATCGGATATTCGGGGAGCTATTGGGCTGATCTGCTGTGGTTTAAGGGTGTGCATGAGATGCCTGGATTGCAAGCTGTAGCTTAACCCACAGTGCCACAATGCCCAGTCCTGACCCCTGCTGACATGTGACTCCTTCTGCAGCATGACACCGACTGAGGCAGCTGTAAACGTGACTCCTGCCCTTAACATCCCCTGTAGAGACTCCAGAAAGCATCTCTGCTGATATTGCATGGGCTTAGTGCTAGCTCTTGTAAGTTTGATGTTACTAAAGGCTAGTACCTAAATGGAGTTCCTGAAGACTAAATGTCTCTTTCATTTTTTTTTTCCAGAATCCCCACTCTGGAGATGTCTTATAGTGGACTTTGATTCCTAAGCTTCACACTCCCCGAGTTTCCTGGGAGTGCCAAGGGGAGGGCATCATAATTCGAGGATTATTTTCATCTCTGCTTCCTGCAGAAAACCTCATCATTCTAAAGGCAACTTTTGGGGCTGGTGCTGGGAACCAGCAGATAAAACCATCAGGTGTGGTGCTGGCATCCCATAGGGAGCTTTTCTGTCTGCTCCACTTCTGATCTTAGGAATGGCAGTGGTAAGGCAGTGTAAGATGTCTCAGGTTGTGAGGACTCAGATGGGCTAAGTGTTAACTTTTAAAATATGAACTCTTGCTTCTCTCCACTTCTGAACCTTCCAACAGTGTGTTCTCCCGTTGAGGGAGAACAAAAGAACAAAATCAACATATCAATTCTCATCTCTTAGAGTTGGTGTTATAACAAAAGCAAGGAGACATAGCCCATATTTAATCCCATCACTGGGTTACTGTCAAAGAGATCAGAAACCACTTTGCAACAGTAAGTTTGTTCCTGTGCCATGGAGTTGTTGCTAAGTAGCCAACCAATATAAGTTTCATTTTTTCCTATTTTATATCACCAATATTTTGGGATACTAATAACCTTGTACTGTCTTATACATATACAGATCCATTACAGAAAATGCTCTTTGCCTATTTTATTTATTTTAAAAAAAATGTATTACTTTATTTTTTCTTGAAAGTCACAGAAAGGAAAGAGAAAGATCTTCCATCTGTTGGTCCACTCTCTTTTTTTATTTTTGTTTGTTTGTTTTTGCTGGTCCTAAGGAACCTCAGTGTCAAAATCCCATCATTTGGTCATGGCTCATTGCTACTAAGAAACTGTGAGAACCACCTGGAGAGTGCATAATCCCAGAGTGAGAGAGGCCTGGGAGGGAAATAGTGGGCTCTTCATTCTTGGGTTACCACTCCCACTGGAGGGCACGAAAACTAGGACAGGGGCAGGGGTGGCTAGACAGAGAGGCACCCAACAACATCCGTGAGGGCTGGATAGTGGAGCTGGTTAGATGGAACTAAGCTTTAATACCCATTGACATGTATGAGAGCCAAATGGGATATGGGACAGACTGGACTAGTCTGCTACACATACTGGCAAACCAGGATAGGGGGTGGGCCTGGTGGGGGTTATTATGGGTTGCTCTGACTAGGCTGCAGCTCCCACTGGTTTATGTGAGGGCCAAGTATGTGCTGGGCAGAACCAGGCTGGACTGCAACACCCATTGGTTCCAGTGGAAGTCAGGGCTGAAAACAGAACCAACCCAGCAATTGCAACCACCAGCTGATTGGGCGATGGACTGTGCTAGGCTCTATACTTGCTAGTACAAGAATCTCTTCTCGGACGCGGCGTGGCCTAGCGGCTAAAGTCCTTGCCTTGAATGCCCTGGGATCCCATATGGGCGCTGGTTCTAATCCCGGCAGCTCCACTTCCCATCCAGCTCCCTGCTTGTGGCCTGGGAAAGCAGTCGAGGACGGCTCAAGGCTTTGGGACCCTGCACCCATGTGGGATACCTGGAGGAAGTTCCTGGCTCCTGGCTCTGGATTGGCACAGCACCGGCCATTGCGCTCACTTAGGGAGTGAACCATCAGATGGAAGATCTTTCTCTCTATCTCTCTTCTTCTCTGTATATCTGACTTTGTAATAAAAAAATAAATAAATCTTAAAAAAAAAAAAAAAAAGAATCTGTTCTGGGAGCACCTCAGAAACCTAACCATGAAAAGACAGAAGACAGAACAAGTCAATCAACCACCTCAGCTATATGTTGACTCTAAGATGGACTATGTCAATCAGTGGATTCTTCAACGACCTCATCGTGCTTGGAATGGCGAGATTGGCAGCGATTCATAACTGTTGAACTATGAAAACCACTTGAGCAAGTCCCTCGGAACATGCCCCACGTTAGGGTCTCAGGATGGGAGGGTGGGAGACTGGGTGGGGCTGCTCCCTTTACCTCCCCTTTTTCCACAGACAGAGGGAAAAAATGTGGAAATAGTAGTCTTACCCACTTTCCTATAGCCCTTGAACCTTTTTATCCTAATTAACTATGTAAAGATTGTAAAAAAAAAAAAAAATTTAAAGAAAAGAAACTGCTGAGCGCCCAGGCCAAAGGGCTTATTTGACCTTTAGCACTGATGGGTTCCAATTCTTACGAATCAGGGCCCATGTAAGTCTGGTTGTCTCACAGGTGGCTCCAAGTAATGAAGTGGGTGCTTGCCTTGGTTGCTGGAGGCCTGGGCTGTCCAGCCGAGATAGGCAGGGAATGTGTGGCATTTCCCCTCACCTTGCAGGCTCTGTGAATTGCCCCCTTTCTAGATACTGTGGATTGCCCCTATAAAAACCCTATGAAGGTGCTGTTCAGGTCTCACTCCTGTGAAGGGTGCTCCCTGCTCTTAACCAAAAACCCAGGCAGATGTGCTGAACTTGAATAAACCATCCTTTTGCATTTGAATCAACTTCAGACTCCTGGTAATTTCTGGGAATATCAAGATCTGGGCTCAACAAATGGGGGCTCGTCCAAGATCCCCAAGATCATCAGGACTCCACTTGAGGAGCATGTGTGGTGGGTCTCACCTCAATTCTTTTCCGGCTAATTGTTTTGTCTTGTTTTTCTCCTCTTTTTCTTTTCAGCCTATTTTTGGGTTTTTTGCACCCAGTGAAGGGGCAGGAAGCTCCCAGTGGGTCAGATGTTTTCGCCTAAGGAGTGGGCACATCCACTCTGGTTGATTTTCTTTTATTAGGTCTAAGCTGATTGTGCTTGTCTTGTCCTTAACTTGTGTGTTCTGTGTTGCAGCTAAAGGTTAAATATTAAGTTGGATAGCCGAATTAGGCGCTAATTTTTTTTTAAAGATTTATTTATTTCTATTGGAAAGTCAGATATACAGAAAGGAGGGGAGACAGAGAGGAAGATCTTCCATCCGTTGATTCACTCCCCAAGTGGCCACAATGGCTGGAGCTGAGCCAATCCGAAGCCAGGAGCCAGGAGCTCTTCTGGGTCTCCCACACAGGTGCAGGGTCCCAAGGCTTTGGGCCGTCCTCAACTGCTTTCCCAGGCCATAGGCAGGGAGCTGGATGGGAAGCAGGGCTGCCAGGATTAGAACCGGCTACCATATGGGATCCTAGCATGCACAAAGCAAGGACCTTAACCACTATGCTATCGCACCAGGCCCAAGGCACTAAATTTTGAACCATGAGGGACTATGAGAGAGCCCTTTGCCTAGAATTGGTTTGAGCCTACAAGGGCACCCCTAAATTTTAGTGGGGACAGTGGCAGAAGGTCCTTGCCCCAATGTGAATCTCTGAATGGACAGAGTGGGGACAACAGCCGAGACGCCCTGTGAAGTAGTCCTGAGTGTGAGGTGTTCTGGAACAAAAAGCCAAGAGCTGACACACAGCCTAAGTGGACACACTGGTATTGTTAGTTATTTAAAAAGGGTTAGAGTTCTAGTTCATATGATATTATGATATTTTACACGCAGCTAATTCCCACAACCTGGTTCTTTACTGTGAGCTGAAAACACCAGACACAAGGAGGTATCTTAGGAGGTTTATTCCAGCGGGGCAGGAAAAGGGGAAGGGGAAGGAGGGGAAAGGAGGCCGCAAATGCACCTGGGGGCCTTTTAGTCTGCCAGGTGTGGGGGGCAGGGATTGGGAGGGGTTGAGGGCAGGCCCCAGGGGATTGGCACCTGCAGGTGAGTGCCTGGGGATGATTGGTGAGTGGGCAGGGTTGGGGAAGGGGCTGGGAGACTGGGGGTGGGATTCTCAGGTGAAATGCCGGGTTACATCTGATTGGTGGATGGCTGGACCAGTGCGAATTTCCGTGAGCTGTGAGGAAGAAGGAATGGCATGGCGTCAGGTCCAGGGTGGGATATTCGAATAACTCCTTACAGATATTGGCCAGTCGCTGGGATCTCTTAGGTGACAGCCAGAGGTCCCAGGAAATGGTGCTTCCCAGGGGGCAAGTTAAAGATCTGAAACAGGGTCCTTGTCTTAGAAATCTCTCATAGCCTCTCAACCATTACTGATCCCACATGCCACGCCAATCAGATTAATGGTGACCTACTACTCGCTGAGGGTGATGGGTGAGTGTAACCTCTCCCCCTCTCAGCAGGTTCTCCACATTTCGACTCTCATGCTTTGCCCCCTATGAGCATCCAATGTTACACGAATCCTGCCACCTTCATCCCTGGACATCCCAGCCAGGCTGGAGAGTCCAAGCCCCCTACAGAGTTGCCACTTGCCTGCTTCCCCTGAATCTCAACACCCTGTCACTCTCAGACCTCTAGCCACACAACTAATTTTCTTCTGCAATGTGGCTTGGACTCAACGCAAATTAGACAACTCAATTGGACCTCCAACTTATCCGTGATCCAAATAACTTCTGAAACTGCAGTGGTGAACAGTAGATTTCCCATGTTTCAGGCTGCTTCTTCTCCATTCTCACCCTGTATCCATCCTGCTCTCCCTCCCAAGCTCTTCTCACACACTCTAAACCCTCAATTTTTCTAACTCACTCTTCTCCTAACCAATCTGACTTCCAAGCATTCAGCCCAGGAGAATCCACCTCTCCTACTCAGCCTCCTCCACATGCTAAACCCAATCACTTGCCCCTCATCCCGCCCAGCCACCTCAGGGTTAAACTCTCTCTGACTCTTTTCCCTTCCCCAGTAGCAGTTATAATCCCTCTTCCTGATCTGATGAATCCCTATCTGACTCACCCTCAGCTCATTTTTGCATGTGCTGATGGGTGCTCCTACGCCTATTTTCAATTGATAATTTGCTCACACATGATGCTCAATAATTGTGCCACACATTTGTTTTAAAGATTTTATTGGAAAATCAGATATACAGAGAGAGGAAGAGAGACA